AATAAATACATAGACCAATGAAACAGAACTGAGAGCCCAGAATTAAACCCCCACATACACAATCAACTAATATTCAACAAGAAAACCAAATGAGGAAAGGATAGTCTTCTCAACAAATGGTATTGGGAAAACTGAATAAATACATGTAGAACAGTGAATTTGGTATCTAACATGGCTCACAAAAACTAACCCAAAATTAATCCAAACTTGCACATAAGAGCTGATGCTATAAAACTCCTTGAAGAAAACACAGAGAAGATGCTCCTCAATACTGGTCTTGGCAATGATTTCTTGGACACGGCACAAGAACAAACATCAAAAACAAAACCCAAAGGGACTCTGTAAAACTTGAGGCTTCTGCAGAGCAAAATAAACAACTAACAAAATAAAAACCAATGTACAAAGTGGGGAAAGGTTTTACAAACCGTGTATCAGATAAAGGGTTAGTAGCTAAAGTACATAAAGAGCTCATTCAAATGAATAACGGTGAGAATAACAAAATCTCATACAACTCAAAAACCAAAAAACCCAGATTTTAAAACAGGCAAAGGAACTGTATAGACATTTTCCCAAGAAGACATCCAAATTTCCAACGGATACATAAAAAAATGTTCAGTAGCACTACTCATCTGGGAAATGCAAAGCAAAATCAAAATGCAGTCTCACATCTGTTAGAATGACTTTCATTCTCAGTGAGAATGTAAATGTTTTCCACTGTGGAAAACATTATTAAGGTTCCTCAAAAAATTTAAAATAGATCTACTATATTATCCAGCAATTTCATTTCTGGGGATATATACCCAAAGGAAATGAAAACAGGATATTGAAGAAATACATACATTCCCATGTTTATTGCAGCATTATTCACAATAGCCAAGATATGGAGACAACTTAAGTGCCCATCAACAGAAGAATATGGTAGGTACATACAATAGAATATTACTCGGTGATGAGAGAGAAGACATCCTGGCCATTTGCAACAAAATGGATAGACCTTGAACACATTATGCTAAGTGAGGTAAGTCAGACAGAGAAAAACAAGGACTGTATGATGTCACTTATATGTGGACTATAAAAAAGCCAAACTCATAAAAACAAAGAATGAAACAGTAGTTACCAGTGGATGGGGATGAGGGATGGGACAGATAGAAGGATACAAACTTGGAACAAGTAGTAAGTAAGCCCTAGAGGTCTAATGCATAGTATAATGAATATAGAAAACATATTGTATTACAGTTATCAAAACTGCTAAGAGGCTAGAACTTAACTATTGCACTCACTAAAGAGAAAGGATCATTATGTAGCATGATGGAGGTGCTAGTTATCACTACAATGACAAATATAGAAATGTTAACATGTTTTATACCTTACAATTTTTACACCTTATTTTTATGCCATGTTATATGGCAAATATATTTCAATAAAGTAGCATTCTTTAAAAAGTCTTAACATGGACGCCTGGGTGACTAAGTGGTTGAGCGTCTGCCTTTGGCTCAGGGCATGATCCCGGGATCCCAGAACCAAGGAGTCTGCAAGGAGCCTGCTTCTCCCTCTGCCTGTGTCTCTGCCTCTCTGTGTCTATCATGAATAAATAAATAAAATCTTTTTTAAAATTTAAAAAATAAAATAAAAACCCTTAACTTTCCATTTAGACTCTCATCAGCTAGGAAATCGAAGAATTGTTTTTAAACCATATTTATGGAGGAGATTAAATAATTTCACCAACTCACTTTGAAACTGACCAAGACCTTTACACAGTCTCATTTTCCCCCTAAAAATAGAATTAGTTACCAAGTGACCAAAGTTAGCATGCCCTTTTTGTTAACCCCAATTATAGAACACATTACTGGACTAGCATCAAAATTTCATCTTAAAATTTTTTATGCCATTGCCAGAACTGACTTCTGGCAGAAAATACACTTTAATTCCTTGGCAGTGATTTGCTAGGCTGGGTTCATTCCCCAACATTTAGTAAGAAAAACATGGACCTGCAATGGTATCCAATTCCTCTTGAGGAAAACAAGATTTACTGAAGCCAGTTCAATTTCTTTTTCTTTGCACCTGTGCAGCTAAGCAGGCTTACATGAAGTCAGAAGTGATGGAGCAGAAATGCTGGAGTCACTCACAAAGCCCCTGATAAAAAAGAGGATCTGGAAAGTAAGATTTCAGCAGCTGAAAAAGTGAACATAAACAAAGATGATAAGTCCAGGTCCTTTAAAAAGACATGAAGACAGATGATCTAGAAGATGCTAAGAGATCACCCTATCCTTTAAGAACATATGCAAGATCTCTAAACACTGTAATGTGAAGCTCTGTGAACAAGTTGATGATTTGGCCCATTGTCAACAATATCCAGCTGAAAGGATCAAAAGACCTAATTAAATCTGGCTTAAATGATAAGAATATATATTATCTTACATGAGAAGTCTGGAGGTAGGATAGCTCCAGTTTGATTATGTCAGTGGTCCAGTAATATTTAACTGTGCTTAAGTGTGTAACATTCCCCTCTTTATTTCAGTATGGCTCCAACAATCCTAACCATCACTTCCTTGTGTGATGACTCCTCTAAATTTCTGTAAGACCTTGATGGCCTCTTTAAATCTTCCAACCTAAATTCTCACATCAAATGACTTACATTTCTCTTGAGAGTGGGGCTTGGCTGGAATTTAATTTTTTAACCCCATCTAAAAGACTTTTGTTTTGTAATGAGGAGTTTAAAATATTTACATCTGTTTTGATTGCTGTTCTATTTGAGGTTATCTATGTCATATTATTTCATGATTTTTTTATCATTTTGAATTTAAGTCTGAAAGAAGCTTGGTATAAGGGGAGATACAGAGAAAGCAGTTCATGCATGTTCTTACTGGCCATTATAAAGACTTAGGATTTGTTTTAAGTCCAATGGAAAGGCATTGAATTATTTCAAGTGTACTCTTTGATTTGCTATACATTTTAAGATCAATATAATCATTACAAGGGAGAATAGATTGTTTGGAGGAAAGAGAGGAAACAGTAAAACCAGTTAGGAAGATGTCACCAGGCAATAGATGCTGGTAACCTGGAAGAGGTGGTAACAATGGTCATTGAAGGAAGATAATGATTTCAAATTAAGAACTGACATATAAAAGATTTGCCAATAGATCAAATGGATGGCAGAAATTGAGAGAAGGGGGTCAAAGATGGAGAGAGAATATTTGTTTCCTGGATGATGACATTATTCTCTAGGGAATGGACAAGCCTGAGGAGGAGAACACATTTGCAAGCCAGAGAGAATAGACAGTTAATGTTTTAGCTGCATAAATGCAAGGTATATGTGAAATAGCCAAGTGGATATGTCAAGTCAGTTCTTGGATATGTGAGCTGTTTATTTCTCAGAGATGAAGTTTTGACTAAAGATACAAATGGGGGCATCGTCAACCAATGGAGCTCTGAGAGATGCCAACATTAGATAGAGCCCAGTCAGATAAAAAGGAAGGGTATCCACTAAAGGAGAATATGAAGAAACAGATAATGTGGGAATGTCACCAGGAGCCATTTTCCTGATGCCAAGAGAGACTAGGATCCCAGGATTTGGGTCCTGGAAAGACAGGGACTGAAATTGTCATGAATATGCCATCAGGGAGGTCATGATTATCTTAACAAGAGCATTTTCTTTGGAGTAATAAGGTAAAAGGCAGTTTGCAGCGGTGGCAGAAAAGAATGGGTTGGAGATATCATGTGAAGGTTTGGCTGCGAGGCAGGGCAATGGAAGTCTTTTTTGGTTTTGTATCACTTGAAAAGCTCATTTCAGGCCATAAATACTCAATGTATGCGTGGAATCAATCTTAGTAGTTATCAGCATAAAAATCTAATAGATGTCTTGATAGATATTATCCACTGTTTGAACAGAGGTATTCATACTGAATTCTCTTTCTGTAACCGAAAGAACTCACAGAAGCAGCATGTAGAGAAGAAGGGCGTAGCCTTTGAGCAGTTTCCCCTTCAGTGTTGGGTTCTGTCCATCAAGTCTTCACACCATCCAGTTCATTTGTGCCATAGTCTTACTACAGATCTTCACATGAGTATCCATTCATCATAAATTATTCTAGGACCCAGAAAAGAAATCGGATAGTATCATCCAAATACTGCTGATATCTTATAGTGAAAATGACCAGACGACTTACTATATCTAATCTTGGTGATACATTCTTTAAAAACAAGGTTAACATTGCAAGACTGGACTTTTTTATTATTATACTTTCATTATACAAATAACATTTATACAGGATCATGTTTTACAGTTATTTAAGTGCATTATCTACATAATGATATTTTATAATGGAACTTTTTTCCCTAAAATTTAGATTATATGACCCCAATAATATGTTTCTATTTTCATTGATGTCACACCAATTATATATTTTTATATAATCATAGTTGGGAATATTAAATATGAATGCATACATAAGGGAAATATAGTTACTCTGAAAATCAATAATTTATTAAGAGTTATTTTATAAAACCATTTATGAAAAATCTATTTTAATATATGCAAATAGATTCTGAGGAATATTTACTTTGCGGCCAAATAGATCATAAGATTTGATAATTTGAACACTGACAATTTCAATGATAAAGAAATTGCTGCTTTTATGTGATGATAATACGTATTAGTTTATAAGCTTTATGCCTGCCTTGTACTTATGTGCATTACAATTATCACGTGTCACTATATTATCGCTAACTGGTTAAGTAATTGTCATACTTTTAAAAACTAATTATAGAGTTATAGTTCCTTACAAAAGAGTTCCACTGACACCCTTAGAGTAATTGAAAGTCACCATAAAAGTTTAAAAATCCTACATATTTGTTCCTATATATCAGTTATGTTTTCTTACATCTGTACAAATTCAGCCACAAGTTCTAAATCTACTTGTGCTTTAATATATAGGCTAAATATTTAATAGTTTGATGTAATTTGTTTTACTTTTGTAAAATGATGCACCTCTGGTTTTGTTTAGGCCCCGAAGGTGCTCTTTTTGAACATTCAGTGGAGACCCCCCTCGTAAGAGCTGACCCATTTCAGGACCTGAGGTAAGAATTTTGTTCAGATACAAACTCTCTTATGGATGATACCTGGATATATGTGGGATAATATCTTAGCAGTCATTACAAGATCATGTCTTATTCCATTAATTATCTTTATTCTCATGATATTCCACTTATTGACTAGTCAATACTTACTAAAATCCAAAGGAAGTAAAAAGTGGTACTGACTCCCTATGTTTAATCCACCCAAAACAGAAAATTTACCATCCTAACTACTTTTAAATGTACAGTTCAAAAGTATTAAGTACATTAACACTGCTGTACAACCATCACCACCTTCCATTTCCAGAAATCTTTTCATTTTGCAAAATTAATGCTCTGTGGCCAGTAAACAACTCTCTATTCTCATCTCTACCAACCCCTGGAAACCACAATTCTACTTTCTGTCTCCTCCAACTGGACAATTCTAGGCACCTCATATACATGGAATCATATAGTATTTGTATTTTGCAACTGGTTCATTTCACCTAGCATAATGTCCCCAACCTTTGTTATATCTTTACGTAATGTCAGAATATATAAAATTGACTAGTACCAGATTGTAAAATTATACTTTATACAGAGTCTCTGTGTGCCTTTTTGTACTTCACTTTATCAGTGCACCACTGAATAACATTTATTGCTGTAATTGTTTATTCCAATATTATATTTGTATTTTATAACAAAATCAAATACTATTTTTTAAAACAAGTGCCTGAAGTCCAAGGTATCACTTAAAATTACATTCAGTATTTGAATTTGAAGTATATGCAGAACATTTAACTCCTAATATATTAGTAGAAATAGAGAAAATTAAGTACAGAAGGAGTCCCCAGCTTTACACAGAGAAGCCTGCGACCTTGGCCAAACTAACCTTTTGAAACTTTCTCATCTATAAAATACTGATAGTAACATATCTCAGTGTATTCTGAGAAAGATTTAATTAGCTATTAGGTTAAAAGTATTTTGGAAACTGAAAGTTGAGTTCAAATAATTATTTTTTTAAGATTTTATTTATTTATTCATGAGAGACCGAGAGAGAAGCAGAGACACAGGCAGAGGGAAAAGTGGGCTCCCTGCGGGGAGCTGGTTACAGGATCACACTCTGAGCCAAAGGCAAACACTCAACCACTGAGCCACCCAGGCATCCCCAAATAATTATTTTTATTATCATTATTGTACCAAGTAGATAATCACACTAGATGGAATAAAAGTTAGGAAATTAAGCATTTCTCTTATTTTTTAATGTCTAATTAAATATTAATCAAAAGCAAATGAGGTTCAATTCATCTTACCCACTTAGAGAACATCTGCAGCATGAAAATAAATTGTGACTCTAATTACATTAGAACAATTTCATTAATTTTGATAAAGGATAATTTTGGTAAAGGATCATTATGCATAAGATCAATATTACAGAATTATTATAGTTAGGGAAGAAGAACATTTTACTTTTCTAGGATAGAAAAGTGATTCAATATCTTTAAAAATAATTCCACTTAAAACATTTTTAAATTATAAAGTAATAAAATTGTAGAGATGCCAGACTACTTTTTGAAGTAATTTACTTCACTGTTTTAAAACAAATAGATCTCAAAATTAAACCATTTATCTTATGTCATCCCACCAGGGTGTCAATCTGCTTGTTATCCATCAGGCCCTTGCTAAAAGAAAAAATGGCAGAAGAGTATCCTCTTGCTTTCTAAAAGGTGATACTAAGGGAGGTCACATAACCCAAGTGTTACAAACAAAATAATTAAGAAAATGATGAAATTGTAAGAAAGTCCTGGAGGAATGGGCTGAGGATGGGAGGCATGAACAAATACTGAATGTCTTCAACTTGCAAGATCTGTGCTCTGTGCTGTACATAACTTATCTCATGTAATCATTAACTATTTTAAAAATAAGCAACTTGATTCCCATTTTACAAGAGAGGAAAACCAAGATCTAGATAGCGGCATGCTCTAAGCTAAGATTAAAATAGCCTATCAGCTCTGACTCCAAAGTCCATGTTCATTGGGTGTATTCTCTTTTCTACCTAAGTAGAACCTTGAGTGATTTATTCTTTGATTTATGACCAGACTCTTCTAAATGATTATATAATATTCATATTTTCTTCTGTAAATTCTTACCATAAACTTTCACTTTATATTTCTTTTTTTTTTTAAGATTTATTTGTTTATTCATGAGAGAGAGAGAGGCAGAGACATAGGCAGAGGGAGAAGCAGGCTCCATGCAGGAAGCCCGATGTGGGACTCGATCCTGGATCCTGGGATCACGACCCAAGCCTAAGGCAGCCACCCAACTGCTAAGCCACCCAGGCGTCCCTCACTTTATATTTCTGAGTCCCATACCCTTATTATTCCTGGCCTAAGATAAAGTGAAAATGATTCTAGATTATCTTGAAAACAATGAATGTGGATTTTGTAGGGCTGAGATCCTTATGCATTCATAAATATATCTCTGAAATATACATGTTTAAATATCACAAATTTAAATTTTTACATTGGCTCAAATGGTAATCATAGAAGGGTGACAATTATTATTTTAAGAAGAAAGATAACGTGTATTTAAACTAGATTTACATTTCTTATAGCAAAATCATTCACAAGAAAAAGGTAAAGTGGTGGTAAAAGGTGAGGAAAGACAGACTCTAACACTGCTCACAGAATTAGAAATCAGCACAAAGCATTCTGAGAGGCACACTGGTCAGGTTTGGCAAAGTCCAATATGTGTACATCTGAAACCCACACTTTGTGAAACTTGGTGGAATGGACAACTCAGAGTGCTCTTCATGGCTCTTCTATGGCTGTTCTAAAAGAAGTCTGAAAAACTGGGTGCCCATTACCCCACTTTTAAGTTAACATTGTGTTTTACATAAATTTAAGTATTTGCAAAAGATACCATTTCTGCCATATTATAAACACTGTCATTTTGAAAGAAAACTCATCACGTTACAGTGTATTTGATGGAATCTAAAAATCACAGAGATTTGATAACCACCAACTTTGGGTTACAATCCAATATTTACAATATTTTTGCTTAAATTTTTTGCCTGGAAGATTTTTGATGGGCAACTCTTTCATTTGGCTTGTGTATCCTTTTGCTATACCCTTGCTGTTTTGATTTTTGAGCACACCTTATACACTGGAGCTACAAAATGCTCCAAATTTATCTAGAATTGACTCATCTGCTTTGCTTCTTTCCTTTTTTAAACGGTTTTATTTAAATATATAAATACATATATTTAAATATACTGAATATCAACATTTTTCCTATTAACATTTTTTTATTTTTAACGTTTATGTACTCAAATTTATTTATTTTATTTTATTTTTTTAAGATTTTATTTATTCATTCATGAGAGACACAGAGAGAGAGAGGCAGAGACACAGGCAGAGAGAGAAGCAGGCTCCATTCAGGGAGCCGGATGCAGGACTTGACCCTTGGTCTCCAGGATCATACCCTGGGCCAAAAGTGGCACTAAACCACTGAGCCACCCAGGCTTCCCTGTGTACTCAAATTTATTAATCATTTCTTTCATTGAATTTGGATTTTAAACCGTAAGTTGAAACTTTCCTTATAGAAAGGGGAAGTTGTCTGCCATGTTGTTCATCTGGCTTTCCCTTTTATATTAAGATACATTGTGGATTCCAAATGCACTTAGAGATTATTCTTGTATGAGGTATAAGGTATGAGGTCTAGGTCTAATTTTATTTTTTTCCATTCAGCCAACCAGAAGTGCCAACAATTAGATTATTTATTAGAAATTCTACTTTTGCTGCTACAGTTTGAAATACAACCTTTATCATGTATTACATTTTCCTATGCAGGTGGGCCTGTTTGTGTATTTTCTACTCTATTCTATTCATCGGTCTATTCAGGTGCCAGTGCCTATACCAATCTTGATAAACAGGATTTAGAAGATCCTTTAAAGTCAGATAGGTCTTGTCTCTCTCACACACATGCACATAACCTTGTAGCGACTCTCAACATTTCTCTATCAATTAATTCTTGCTTATTTTTCCATGTGAACTTGAGTGTTAACTTGTCTAATTCAAGTAAAAGTGTATTCTTTTTTTAATTAACTATTTATTTATTCATTAATTCATTAATTCATTCATTCATGAGAGACACAGAGAGAGGCAGAGACATAGACAGAGGAAGAAGCAGGCTCCATGCAGGGAGTCTGATGCAGGACTCAATCCCAGGACCCTGGGATCATGCCCTGAACAAAGGCAGATACTCAACCACTGAGCCACTCAGGTGTCCCAAAAGCATATTCTTTTATTAGGATTATGTTAAATTCATAAATTAACTTAGGGAAAACTGATGTCTTCATAACATTACTTTTCCAAAAACATAGGGCATCTTTCTATTCACCAAAATCTATTTTTGTCCTTTCAGGAGTGCCTAAAAGTTTTCTTTAGGCAAGTTTGTCACATTTCTCATTAAGTTTATCCCTAAGCATTTTAGCTCATCTTTGTCACAATTATAAATGAGGTTTTACTCTATCTACCATTATATCTTCCTACAAGGTAAGTTTTGGATATGAGAGCTACTGATTGCTGCGTGTTAATTTTATATAAATGACTTTACCAAACTTTTTATTCTTTGAGTGAGTTTTATGTTGGCCCATTAGGATTTTTCAGACATACGTTCATATCATCTGCAAAGAGATATATTCTTACACTTTCTTTTGCAACTCTGTATCTCTGATTTCCCTTATCTCACTCCATGTCCCAATATCATTAGAGCAGTGTGAGAAACAAGTGGAAGTAGTATGCATCCTTGCCTTTACCCAGTCTAAATGGAAATGCCACTGGTATTCCTCCATTAAGTGAGATGATATGAATGTGTAAAGAAAATATTTTATAAATAAAATGACCATTAGATTTTGTCAAAGGCTCATTTGTGTTTATGGAGATAGTCATATTTATGTGTTCCTTAGATATATTAGTACAGTGTGTCACATTAATGGGTTTTCTAATACTGAACCAATCTTG